CACTCCCACCTCTCCCAGTCGTCGCAGAAGGATACCATGGTTGATGGTATCAAAGGCCGCTGAGAGGTCAAGCACCACCAGAATAGAGGAATGTCCTCTATTCCTGGCCCGCCAGAGATAGTGCAATTCATTATTTATACTTACCTTATATGTAAATTGAAATAATATAGAAAATATAGCTTTAAGATTTTTATAACTTTCTAACTGATCTGTATTATATTTCTAAATAACTATCACAGTGCAAGCATTGAACTCTTTTCCTTGCATGCAATTTTGTTATTGTTGCCATAACATCTTTTGTTCTGATTATTATTCTATTTTATGTGACAAAGTACACTCAATCCTTTCTTTTATTTCAAAATATTAAAAAAGATAACATAAAATATTTTAGTATCAAACGCATCCTTTACCTTTAGCATCCATCTTAAATATACTAAGCAAAGCATTGTTAACCAGGTTGAATTCTGCAGAATCATCTAAAAATAAAGAAAACAAAGGATCAGCAATTCTTTTAAGCTAGATAGTGCCAAATACTGGAAATTCAGGAAATAAAGAATTTCACACAATAAACTGTTCCAGGCAAAACCCTTACAAAGAAACCAAGACAGTGAAAATACAAAATTCAGAAAAAAATGATTCTGGCTAAATGTTTACAATAAACTTGCATGTACAGATATATACCAAGTATATAAATATATGACCGCAATAAGAACAAAAGAAAAAGGTTCATTTTGCACCAGACACAAATATAAAAATGAACTTAGGCATCATTATTTAAAAAGTAAGCAGATATCAATGGCGGTTTTTAGCTTTTACACTTCCAAAGCAGTATCTAAAGCACAATTTCCTAACTCCTTACATACTATCAAGTTGATGTTGACTTTTAGTGACCACAGAATTATATACAATAGGTAATAACTAAGAAAGAATTTGAAGCTACAAAGTGTCTTCTATCAAAATGTTTCTTCTCCATTATGTAGTGTTACCAGTGCTAATAAAGACTCAAAATTAGCATCTATCTCTTAGATCACAACATCCATTTCTCATACCACATTTTCAATGGGAAAATATAATACTCAGGAATAATGTGAAAAATAACAAGAATAAAGGGGAAAAATCTTCAAAAATATACTAATACAACTTCTGATAAGAAAACAGTAAGAAAGCTGAAGCAAGAAAGCTATAGTAATGAATATTTCACCATGCCTTTTACTAAGACTAATACAATAATCTTTCTCACCTGTCTGCAGAAGCTGGGTAAGTATGTCTGCTACCCTAGGGAGGTTATCACCCATAGCAAACTGAGGTAATTCTTTAATTGCCTGGCGTCGGATCTATAAACAAAAAAAGACACACATGGAACAACTGGATAATATATGTTCAATTACAGAAGATTCAGCATCAGTATCATCTCACTATAAAATCCAGCATGAACAATAGTTAGGATTCTAATGAATCAAAACTAGCATATTATAGTATTTATGACATAATTCAGCAACTGTTGTATATATTTTAATTGTGCAAAACAGCAGAAATAATAGCACATGGAATGGACTATTATTAACAATTAACATAATTTAAAAAGATTTTGCAACTGCTTGCACAGAATGGCCAAAATAGGCACATAAAATGTATTGCTAATGTGATTTTAAGGTACTGTATCAATTCACATTCCAATAGCATTTTCCCTTTTGTAAAGAAAAAGGCACTTACCGAAACATCTTCATCTTCACAAAGATCCAACTGAGCATTTATAGCAGAATCTGCCAATTCGGGAAAATGTTTGAAGAACTTTGGAATAAACTGTGCTGCTAATCTCTTCTCCTTAGCACCCCCTTTGACACCATCCAAGATAACTTGATAAGCATCTTTGTGCTAGAAAAGAAGAGAGAATTCTAAGAATGCAAAGCTTAAGCAAGCAATGAAAAATTAAAATTACATTTGACTGAAAAAATTCTCATCAGATTATTAACAATTCAGATTATCCCACCATTTCTGACTCTACATTTACTATAGCAGAGACATATTACTTTGAAAGTATCACATTTTGTAATGGTTGAGTGCTCTTCTGCTACACATGGTTTTTGATAGTGTACTCAAAAGGTGTAATATGCTAGCTCCCATTCCTGCTAGCATATTAAAGTGTTAGCCTATGAAATAATGAATATACGTATGGAAGCAATTTACTGCAATCTTTCTACAAGCACTGTTTTTATCATCCTCCATATGTACCAAGCAACCAGAAAATGTTTGCTGCCTTTCTACAGTTAAGAATGGCCTTTCTTTGGAAGTTCATGAGGCTAAGCATCTTTTATAGCTGATAGGTGTTGCAATTCTTAATGTATTTTAGCTTTTGAACACTAAGCTTTATCTGTTAAAGGACTGAAAGTATTTTAACACTAGGGCTGTACAGTAATCAAAATGTAATTCAGCATAGACATGGACATTAATACTGCACTGGCAAATTCTTAAAGAACTTTCATCTTCTTCTTGGATCCTGTTGCTTTAATTAAGGCGATAGCAGCAGTTGTGATATGTATGTGCCTAACCATATTTTCTCTACTTAGTGGATTCTATGCTTTAAAAAAAATCTATTATACTGTATTCATCTGAAAGGCCAATGACCCTGAATGTAAGAATATGTCTATTCCAAAAGGGAAGATTACACAAACATATAGTTACTATATTTTCAGAAAATCTAGAGAGGCCAATTCATTTTAAATGTGTAGGGTGGGGTGGGGATCTAGTCTTCTTACCATATAAATGCACTACTTGTACAGTTTTCCTTTCTAATATGCTGACTATTTCAGTACAAGGCTGAAATGAAATACAGAAAAATGGGACTTCTGTTGTATCTTATAACGCATATCTAATATAGAAAATGTTATGTAATATACACTACATAATGAGTGTGCCTGTAACTCCTCAAATTGTTAGATGCAATATTAGATGCAGTGACACCATTTTTTGCTGCAATGCTTCTCTAGAAATTGTAAATTAAAGATTTCACCCTGAAAAAGGATAACTGAGGTAAAAAAATACACTTGATATTTTATATAACAATGTTATAAGAACCAGCCAGCCAGAAAAGGAGCCTTGAATATTTCTTGAGGCAGATTTTTTTTAATATGATACCTTATCATATTCCAATGTATTTTAAGAAAATGTTTCAAAGGAAAAGAATGAGCCCTTTCATTTTTTTGTTTTAAAAATTGACATTTTACATTATCCACTACAACAGAAAAAGCACTCAACTCTCTAACCTGTCTTAATTAACATACAGAAAGGTAAATATTGAAATTTTATGTGTTTCCTAGTATGATTTGATTGCTTATTAGGAACCTATGACTATCACTGTATTGTATCTTCTGATTCTGATTCTTGACGAATATACACTATATTGCCAAAAGTATTCGCTCACCCATCCACATAATCAGAAGCAGTTGTGAGCGAATACTTTCGGCAATATAGTGTATTTTATTTTTTCTTAATATACACTGAGAGCATATGCACCAGAGACAAATTCCTTGTGTGTCCAATAAAGAATTCTATTCTATTTTATTACACAGGTGACCATTTCATAGGAAAAAGCATATATTCTCAATGAAATGATCCATGCTGCAGCACTTATAAAAGATCAAAACAAACCACAGCCTAAAGAAAGTCCCACAGAACTGTTAAAGTCAATTTTAGAGTCAATTTTCACAGGATCCCGTCTACAAAACCTTCCTGTTGGCAGACTGAAGTAAGAGCATCCCAGAAGCCTGTTCGTTTCGTTTTACCTCAGGGGAGTCGGGGAAAGAGTACATCTTAAAGACAGAGACACCCCACTCCTCAAATTTCTCATCGGGACAGAGGGAAGGAGAAGATGTTAGGGTCCGCCAATCATTGTTTATGTAAAACTGGGCAGCTTCTGCTTGTTTATTTTTTAAGTTGAATCCTATCCTACCATGACTAGATGGCTCAGTGGCTAAGACTGCTAAGTGAGCTTCTTGATCAGAAAGGTCGGCAGTTCGCCGGTTCCAATCCCTAGTACAGGTCGTCCTCCGTAAGCAGGGGGTTAGACTAGATGGTCTCCAAGGTCCCTTCCAACTCTTACTGTTTACTATCCATTCGGCACAGCGCGCGGGAGAAACGAAAGCAGCAATCTCTACCGGCTTCCCACCCCTGGGAATAAGTCTCCATAGGCTCTCGCCTTCGTCAACTGGCAATGAAAGCTGGACTGGGGTAAACAAAACGAACACGGAGGACGGACGGATCCCCGGGCCTTTCGGCGACATTGGTCGACCTACCGGGTCCTTCGCGCCGCGATGGCCGCTTCCAAACCCACGCTGAAAGGAGAGGCGGGGGGGGGGGCTTCCCTTTCCTTATCTTCCCCGCTAGGCCAGAGCCCGAAGCTCCAAGCAACCCCCTCCCCCACCCAAACAAAACCCCAGTGGCGTCCCACCTCCGGAGCGGTGTCCTTAGCGTCGGCTAGGATGCCGTAATTACGGTAGAGCTCCTCCACGGTGGGCATCGTGCCTCCTCGGCGTCTGCTCCTCCGGCTGGCCGCCCTCCTTACCCCCGACGCCCTTTGCTGCAGCGGCGAACACAACCACCCTCCCTCCTCCTCCACACCGCAAACCCGAGCCAGCGATACCGCCAAGCCAGGCCGCGCACAGCTACGCAACATCCGGTGGCCAAGGCTTCTCGCTTCCCGAACGACAGCGGCCCCTGTCGTGGAGGAGGTGACAATGCAGCCGTACCGCTGGTGGGGTGGGATGGGGTGCGGCGGGGCGGGGCGGCTGCGCGAGTGACGTCGCCAAGGGGCGGTGTCAGGAAGCGGGGCACGTGATTCCGCTTTAGCCACATGGAACAACGCGAGTGATCGCTGATGGTTGGGTTTGCGGACGACGCGCTATTCGTTGCCCGACTCCAATCAGAGTCTTAAAACTCGCTTTAAAAGCTGTAAGCCGAGCTGTTGTTCATTTTATACATGTCGTAATTTTGATATTTTTTTTCTTTTACCCTTTAGAGTTTATGAAGGTAGAGATCGCTCTGCATTATTTCCGTCTGATGGAAGACTACCAAGAAGGCTAACACGGGAAGTCAAGAAAACTCCCAAGTCCTTCTCTCTGGATGTTTTTGATAGGATTGTTATGATGTCTTTCTACAAATTTCGCTATTTATGCTAAGGTACTGAGGTGTTTGTTTATTTATAATACGGGGATTAAATTCCCGGTTTACATTTTGGGTAAATTGTTTCTTTTACTCTTTTATCTCTTTTTTAATGGTCTATTTTTAAACGGACCCTGCCATATAACATTTGGAAGAAGTTCCCTTTGCTCTGGTTACCCCAATCATCTTAGTGTTTCAATACACTTTCTGTATCAGGGGTTGTATTCGTCTTCTCCTGCAAAAAACTTTAGCATACGTTTTATTGTTGTACACATATTGTTATTTATATTATTTACTTGTGTTTGTGTGCTTTGTTAGCTATGCTGATGGTCAGAAAACATACAGCACTCACATAGTGATGTTTGCAATATACATTGTGTCAGAGTAAGGACAACGCAAAAATGCTGTGCTATGTATTTCCCTAAGATGTCTGATACAAAGGCTAGGGGTGACATGATACCAGTATTCCTGTATTTTGAGGGGCTGCTACAAAAAAAGGGGATCAACTTATTTTCCAAAGCACTAGAAGGCAAGACAAGAAACAATGATTGGAAACTAATCAAGAAGAGAAGCCACTTGAAATTAAGGAGAAACTTTCTAACACTGAGAGCAATTAATCAATGGAACAGCTTGCCTTCAGAAGTTGTAGGTGCTTCATCACTTGAGGTTTTTAAGAAGAGACTGGACAGCTACCTGTTTGAAAGGGTATAGGGTCACCTACTTGAACCAGGATTGGAATAGAACAGTTGTCCCCAACCTTTCCAGCTTGGCAGTCCAACCCGGTGTGGGTGGAGGCATGTGAGTGGCAGGTGCCCGCACAGGTTCCACCACAAAACCGCGGTCGTCTAAAGCACGCTCGACGAAACCGCGTACCTGACGTCATTACAGCGCGATGAAAAAAGCACGCTGTGAGCGGTAAAGGTAAAATTAACGCGTAAAACTAAACCTATCCCCCCCCAAACCTAATCCTACCCCTTAACCTAACCCTAAACCTAACGCTAACCCTTAACCTAACCCTAAACCT